CGCGCGAAAAGTATGTCCTGATTCCGTGTCGGCACAGATAATTCCTCGCGAAACCACGAATTCGGTAGACGAGATCAGCCAGCCTTTTTCAATGCTGGAACTCTCACTCGCGCTCCTTTCGTGTGGCAATTCGGCTCCGGGGGTGATAGAATCAAGTTCAACTTGTTGAAGAACCTCCCAGACGTCGCTAAGAGGCGCATGTTGAACTTGTTTTGTCAGTTCCTGGAGCTCAATATTGTTCCGGATGATTGGAGGCAAGTGAGAGTTATAGCCATTAAAAAGCCTGGAAAACCCGCTTCAGATCATAACTCGTATCGTCCCATCGCGATGTTATCGTGCATTCGAAAATTGTTGGAGAAAATGATCCTTTTTCGCTTAGACAAATGGGTTTAGACGAACCACCTACTCTCAGATACTCAATTTGGATTCCGTAGGGGCAAGGGAACGAACGACTGTCTCGCGTTGCTTTCCACAGAAATTCAGTTGGGTTTTGCTAAAAAAGAGCAAATGGCTTCTGTATTCTTGGATATCAAGGGGGCTTTTGATTCAGTATCGGTTGAAGTCCTTTCAGACAAACTCCACGCTTGTGGCCTTTCTCCATTAATAAATAACTTTTTGTACAATTTGCTGTCAGAGAAACATATGAGCTTTTCTCATGGAAACTCTACAGCTTCTCGATTTAGTTACATGGGTCTCCCTAAGGGCTCATGTTTAAGCCCCCTTTTGTATAATTTCTACGTCAGAGAAATCGACAATTGTCTAAGTGACAACTGCACGTTGAGACAACTTACAGATGACGGCGTAGTGTCTATGATAGGGCCCAAAGGGGTCGACCTGCAAGGACCCTTACAGGATACCTTAGACAATTTGTCTACTTGGGATATTCAGCTAGGTATCGAATTCTCCACGGAGAAAACTGAGTTGGTCGTTTTTTCTAGGAAGCATAGCCCAGCACATTCTATGTCCTTCAAATATCTTGGGGTCTGGTTCGATTCAAAATGCACCTGGAGATCCCACATTGAGTATCTGAGACGAAAATGCCAACAAAGGATCAATTTTCTCCGAACAATTACCGGAACGTGGTGGGGAGCCCATCCGCAAGATCTTCTAACGTTGTACCGGACAACGATTTTATCGGTTTTAGAGTACGGTAGTTTTTGCTTCCAGTCGGCGGCTAAAACTCACATCATCAAACTGGAACGTATCCAGTATCGTTGTCTTCGTATCGCGTTAGGATGCATGCACTCGACTCATACGATGAGTCTCGAAGTGTTGGCGGGCATGTTGCCACTATCGGATCGGTTTTCGGAATTGTCCCTCAGGCTCCTCACCCGTTGTGAAGTTATGAACCCACTGGTAATCGAAAACTTTGAAAAGCTTCTTGAGCTGAACCCTCAAACTCGTTTTATGTCATTGTACTACGTGTACATAACTCAGGATGTCAGCCCTTCACAGCATAATCCCCATCGTGTATGCTTCTCCGAATTCGGCAATTCAGTTAGTTTTGATTTATCTATGACGCGGGAGATTCGTGGGATCCCAGAACATCATCGTTCCATGATTGTTCCGTCAATTTACGCTGCAAAGTTTGGCCAAGTTGATTCCGCAAGATCGTTCTTCACAGATGGATCACTAATAGAGTCGTCCGCTGGTTTTGGTATTTTTAACGAATTTCATAGCGCCTCTCGAATGCTTCAAGCCCCTTGTTCCGTATATGTTGCTGAGCTGGCGGCAATATACTATACGCTAGAAACGATCGTCTCACTTCCACCAGATCACTATTTTATTTTTACGGATAGTCTCAGTTCTGTCGAGGCTATTCGCTCCATGAGGCCGGTAAAGCACTCCTCGTATTTTCTCATGAAAATACCAGAGCTTTTAAGTGCTTTATCTTTAAGATCTTTTGTCATCACCTTTGCATGGGTCCCATCCCATTGCTCGATTCCGGGCAATGAGATGGCGGACTCACTTGCTAAGGTGGGCGCTATGGAAGGCGATATTTACGATCGACAAATCGCCTACGATGAATTTTCCTTCATTTATCGTCAACAGTCACTCGTCAGCTGGCAGAATAAGTGGAGTGAAGGGAGTTTAGGACGATGGCTATATTCGATCATCCCTAAAGTGTCGAAGAGTCCTTGGTTCAAGGGGTTGGATGTGGGTCGAGACTTCATTCGTATGATGTCTCGCCTCATGTCCAATCACTATTCGTTAAACGCTCACTTGTTCCGTGTTGGGCTGAAGGACAGCAATCTCTGTGAATGTGGACAAGGTTACCAGGACGCAGATCACATTATTTGGTCTTGTGCTGAGCATCGCGGAGTCAGATCTGAACTGTACGATTCCCTTCGGGCTCGAGGTAGACAACCTAATGTTCCAGTTCGAGATATTTTGGCTAGACGCGATCTGGAGGTTATGAAACTCATATATGTTTACTTTGAGAATATTAACATTAGATTGTAAGTTTTATTAACCTTGTGTTTAGTTTGTATTTTGTACGTGTGGGTTTTTTTTATGTTTGTTTTCAAGATGAATAGAAATTAGTTCATGTTTTAGGATTAATTAAAAATTGTATCGTAAACCACATTTCAAACCTCCCTCTCCCTTTTCTGATCCAAAAAAAAATGTAAATCTCCACTAACCTCGAGACAACCGCGAGTATCCGGTCCAGCTCCTTTAACTTTAAATATAAGACATCAATAATGTATAACAAAAATGATAACTCGGCTCTGTAAAGTTAATTCGATTGAGCCTGTACAAATAAAGTAATTAATAAAAAATAAAAAATAAACAATTATACCAATGCAAAAATGGTACAGGCTCTCAATTAATAGCAGTGGAAGTGCATCTAGAACACTAAGTTGAGAGCACGCAATAAGCTAATATGCGATATGCAATAAGCTTGAAATGCGAAGAAGTGTGAAAATGAAAGTGCCTAGGTGTGCCCAGCTGTATTTATAGCACACTGCACACAGGGCAAAAATTGACCAAACCGCGACTAAATTGAATAACTCAGATGCCAAACGGTTTCAGTCAAAATGTTATACATATTCTCAAAGGAAATTCTGCTGAATCGATTGGTGGTAGTCTCATTGGTCGGAGACTTTTGCGTACCGAGATAGAGGGCCGGGATCAACCCGAATTCCCGGTAAAGTAAGAAATGCCACTATCTATCGACATAATTTTACACTTTTCTTAACGTATATTACTGGAAATTGATAGTACTAAGTAGAGGACCAAATACGCCCTCAGGTAAACTCTACTGGCCTAAAGGAGGATCCGGAACGACCGATAAAGTGGCCACATTATAAAAATTGTCCTCGAACCTTGCGATTGTTTCTATGATGTTCAGAATCAAGAGATCAAAGCGTATTTAATATGGAAACTATATTATGGGGCATAGTGGCCATATTCTGGTTCCCCGGATAGTCTGGATTGACCGATAAAGTGGCCACATTATAAAAAATTTGCCAATGAGACTACCACCAATCGATTCAGCAGAATTTTTCCTTTGAGAATATGTATGACATGTTGACTGAAACCGTTTGGCAGCCGAGATCTTCAATTTATTCGCGGTTTTGTCAATTTTTGCCCACTGTGCACTGTGTGGAGTGACCTACCCCTCGATTATAACTACTCAAAACTTCCATAGATAGATCCTTGAACCATTTTTCGAATTCGTATGAATAAATAAATCTAGATATTCTAGTAAATGGAGTATATCGGCATTATTCTTAAAATTATAGACGATTAATTTGGATTATTCTATAAGTCGATAATTCTATAAATCGACAGTCACTTCAAAGGAGTTATGGAGAGTTGACTGTATTTTCAATTTGAATTAATTTATTTTGATCTGGAAGCCCGAAGGAGTTGGAATAGCTTCACCGACTTCGACTTCGAACCCGGCTCCTTAGTCCAGGAAATTCCCTCCGACTCTTCGACTGCAAGACTCTGACTCTACAGCGCTGAACAAAGCAACATTGTGAGGCCTCCAAAACTCAATTAAAAACAATGACTCGGAAAACCACAAAAATCATGCGGGTTCCGTTGAATGCAAGAATCGTTTACAGAAAGCGTAAAAAGCAACGTCATTTAATCCGATTTCAATACTATACTTCCTAACAATATCTGAGTCGCCACTCCATTCTCATGTACACTGTATCAATATCAATTCCACTAACCCCGGTTCATCCACCGAACCTATTACCCATTTCTACATTATTTCACACCCAATCAGTACACGCAAAACAAATGTCTCTTACATCCAATGCATGGCTGGATTTATTACATTATCTGCATGTGTTCCATACAAAAAATGTAATGACAGTTCTTGAAAGCAAGTTTTCCATATTGCACATTTTCGTATAAAACCTTCACGAGATGATTTTCATTTGGGAAAATAAACTTTAAAATTACAAAATTATTAAAAAAAAAAGAAACCTGACCTGTTCATGCGGTCCAACATTGCAATCTCTGCATACTTTTCATGCAAATCTGTAATAGAATCAAACACTTCCCGGTTGGGTGTAGAATCGAAGCGAAACGAACTGGAGAAAGTAGCTATCCATTGAAATGAATGTCACTTTCGCAACAGTTCATGATTCTTTTGACTTCTTTTGCGCTGTAAATATATTTACTAGATTGTGCAACTCATGGATAGAAATATATGGGCCATTGCACTTTGTTGAAGATTGTGGTGTGACATGTTTGCTTTTTTTGTGATGGAAAACTATCAGCATTGCTTCGTTAAAACTAGTGAAAAGAGAACTTTAAATTGAACCTGATAGAATTCGATGAACCATTCCCATCATTATTCACCGATATTGAGCTACATTGCCCGTTACACCAGGATATCATTTCAATCTGAATGGTTCGGCAGTCAGTGCGGATCAATTATGCATCACCGACGCTTGGGATTGACGTCCGGGCTATATCTGAGACATAATCGGCTGCGGGGGTGTTTCAGTCAATCAATCGACGAAACTCGTCCTACTTACCTCCCAAGGCCACCAATTTGACGACAATCACCGGCATCCAGCAGAGGCAATCGGTCGCAACGATGATGGCGAACCTGCAAGAAGACAAAACGAGAAAATCATTGACAAAACAAAATGAAAATCAAAAGGACGTGGGAAATGGTACGACAGGCGGATGGCAGTTACAAGATATCACACGGGATGACCTACCAGACCACCAGCTGGGAGGGCGGATTGTCGTTTGTTTTTGTCCATCGCATTTAACGAGTTTCTTTTTGTTTTCGGAAAATTGATTCTGTCACAACGCCGTATGTGCTATTGATTCAATGTTTCTGGAAAAGAGTATGTAATTCTTCAAAATTTTAGGGACAAATCACACGATGTCAATAGCACAAAAGTACAACTCATCATGAAGCTAAACCATCAAAGATAAAATCGATCGCAACATTTCTCCAAAAATAGAGCCAGAGCATATCCACTAGAGTGGTTCAAAAAAATAGCTCATACATTTTAACATATGAGCAGGTAGCAAACTTTTTCCGTAAAAGATTATGGCAAACTGCTAGGATGATGAGAACATAAATTTCACTGTTCTAAAGCAATTGCCATATAAACTTCAGAGGGCCTGTGCAGTATGAGATTGCATCCAAATAAACTCAAATTTTGCGGCAATGATCAGAACCTGACCGATATTTTGAACCACCCTATTATCCACATCGTCCATCCTCTAGTAAAAGCAAGCACATCCCACACTTTCAAACTTCCATGATTCATTTCCGCTATCCTAAACGAGACTTCCGTACTCGCTTTAAAAGCAATTTTCCCATCCCGGACATCTCGTACCCAGCACATCTCAAAGAAATCGCTGACTACAACAGGGACGAAAAGCCTGATAAAACGAATATTCCCGAGCAGACCCCGATTTAACAAAACCGTGATTGTTCTGTGTACTCCGGAAAATTGAATTCCGCATTCCTTACTCGGAACGACCCACAGCAGAATCATGAAGATGTTTTCCCAATCCAAACAACACAAAAGTGCTCGGATTCTGCATCGCTCCTCCAGTGTGGACTGACTGCAATGGGATCCACTTTGTGTCCATCCATCCGTTCGATTGCTCTTGTCTTGTGCGGTGGCAGGGCACCTATCTATGTACTCCAACGGGCTGCACCACTTTCTAGTCAGTCAGTGGTGGCACTGGAGAGCCCTGTAACACTGAAATGCAATGACATAAAGTACCGATTTACGTCAATAACCGGTGACAGTCGCGTGATTTTGTGGCGCCATGCTCGATTGGTCTGGTCATTTGGTGGGAGCATTCCGGCGTTCGGCTGGCGACACGACAGTCAGAGTGCAGCGGAGCATATACTCGTTGCTAGTTGTTATGCTCGAAAATGTGCGAAAATACGTCCGTTCGACTGCCAACTGGAGACACCAAGCAGGGCAAGTTAGCCGTGCGGATCTGTGGCAGGAGGTTCTCTGATTGCTTTACGAGAACATGATAGTTCGAAATCGGGAGGAAGCGGTGCGCTTGGGTAAAAGTCAAGGTAAACGTTTAAGATTGGGGAGGATGAAAATGTAAAATTGCACCGTTGGCATTTGTTGCCGTGAGAAAATGTAAAGTAAGATTTAATTGGGAAAATTTTCGAAATCTAAGAGACAAATTAGGTGAATACAGTAAATGAAAGTGTCCTTTTAGAATTGGAACAACGACAATTGCGTGTGTTTTGGGATTTAATTCGTGTGTTATGGTTTTTAATAATATCCATAAAACTTTCAGCGGTCAAGGTTGATCAACCAGGTGAAAGGCAACCAGTGGAGCCTTCGAAGACTGTAAGACTGGCGATGTGAAGCCATGGATCGAGTGGAATGGAGACGACTGCTGTGTACAACGAAGGACACCCAGGCCTTAGCCTGACAGGAGCAAGTGTACGAAAGCTGCCCTCAGCGGGACGTGAAAATCGCCATCGTCACCATGAACGCTCAGATAGGAAGGGAGACAATGTATAGACCGGTAATCGGGTATCGAACGAAAGCGGCTAACGATGCGTGAACTTAACAACAACCCGTGGAATGGTAATCCGAAGTACTTTCTTCCTCCGTAAATATATCCACAAAGCTACTTTGAGAACACCTGACCAACATACAGAAATCCAAATCATGCGTTCTTCATGGGTACCAAAATGCACCGGAATCTCGTTAATCCAGACATTTAATTATTTGATGATATAGCTAATAGACAATGACAAAATTTACGTGCTATTTTGAGCATGGAAATCAGCTTTAAAAATATCCAGATTAATGTACTATGTGTAAAGATTTCGAGCATTTACGGTACTCCAAACTTTCCAGAAGTGATTCCGGACATTTTAAACGATGGACCCAGTAGCTCTGGTTGGAGAATCCAGACGTTATCGATGAGGTTTCCAGACAAGATGATCCGATAGCTTCAGGAAAGTCCCGAAGATTTCAGGAAAATTCACTACAGTGTAGACCACCGTGTTTGAACGCAGTTCAAGTTATTTCAGAAAAATTGAAAGATTTTTTTAGCAAACTTCATGGCAGTTCTGAAAACTTCAGCGAGGATAGTCCACAGTTTACTGACAGTTGTCTTACTACAGTGAGTGGTAGTTCCATAAAATCATCCAAAGACCTTCAGCAAAGTTTAGTGAACTTGAGAAACATTTCAAAAACTTCACAGGTGATCCAAAATATTCACGGAAATCCAGAGAACTTCAGCGAAATTAAAAGATCTTTAGGGAACTTCCATTAATTTCAGAGCATTTCCAGGAACCTGATCAAGAGAATTGCAAGATCTTCATACAAGTTCTGTGCACTTCAGGAAAGATAAGAGATTTTCAGGGCAGTCCCATTATTTTCACAAAAAATGTAGAAACTTTAAAAACGTAGTTGAAGATGCTAAATTCAAATAACAGACTAAAGTGGTAATTTTTATATAATAGATGAGGAGATTAAAGTATAGAGTTAATAGTTCCGTTAAAGTACGGCACTGTGAAAACTGCATATAGAGAGTAAAAAGCGAGCAAAAACAACTTTAGGAAGGTACAAATCGGTTTGATCATCTCTCTGTACCAAACTCCTCCTCTCCAACGGGAAAAAATCCATGAAGTTTTGAGAAAAACTTCCCTCGAGTTCTGGAAAGATTTTACTGGAGATCTGAGAAAAACTTTTCTGAACTTCTAGAAAGAACTTTCCCAAAGTTCTGCGAAGAACTACCCTGAAGATATCGGAAGAATTGTATGGCGAACATCTCCGTCGCATGTGCATACCTGCCATGCGGACGGCTGCCAAACCTGCAGGATCAACTCAGCGAAGCCATAGCTAAACTACCGGAACCGCGCATCCTGGTTGGAGATCTGAACGGGCACCACCCAAGCTGGGGCTGCCCCTGCTCCGACCCTCGAAGTGTTAACCTGGTCGGTATTTTCGAGAAGGAAGACATGGTGATTCTGAATGACGGTGTGCTCACGTAGTTTAACGGGCGGCACACTTCTGCCATCTCTTCTATCAGCCGCTGCTTTGCCGGAAAAACTCAGTGGAGCGCGAACACGGATCTCTATGATAGTGACCACTAACCCCATCAAAGTTCAACTTTCGACCGCCATCTTCCCGAAGCGGACTGGGATAGCTATGGAGAAGCCTTTCAGTCCTTGTTTCTACAGCGTAATCCGAACAGCATTGAAGACTTTGCAGAAGTGGTGTACGAAACGGCAACAGCAATTATCCCAAAGACCAGCAGCGTTCCAGGGCGAAAAGCGCTACGCTGGTGGAATGAAGATACGAGGAAAGCCGTTAAAGCCCGGCGTAAAGCACTTCACCATGTGAAGCGCCTTCCTATCGGACATCCCGACCGCGAGGACGCTCTCCGCCACTACCATGAGTCGCACAATCAATGCTGGCAAGAAATCCGTGTCGCCAAACGAACCAGCTGGATGGACTTTCTGGAAGGAATAAATTCGTCACAGTCTTCGGCGGACTTATGCAGTAGGAAACGGCGCATGACTCCGCTCCACGTACAGATTTACGGTGAAGCGGTTTCTGACCCTGCAATTACAGCGGACGAACTCGGCTCGTACTTTGCCGATCTCGCAGCCATCGGGAAGAACGAAGACGAATTCAAGCGGAAAGCTAAGCATTCGACGTCATTCATTGCAAGACAGAGAAATTTCTTCTAACGCTGGGAAGTCGGACATCAACCAGGCATTCTTCTGGCAGGAATTGCAGCATGCCCTCCGATGCAGCAACAGAGAGTCGGCGGGTCCCGACGAAATCGGGTACCCTCTACTCAAGAGGTTACCGACGCCCGGCCAGCTACGGATGCTGGAGCTTTTCAACAATCTCTGGCTCACCAGCTCGTATCCAGCGTCGTGGAAGTTCCAGCCAATAGCCTTGAGGTCCTGGAGCGAATGGTCAACAGGAGGCTAAAGCATTACCTTGAAGCCGAAAACCTGCTAGACCATCAATAGCACGCCTTCCGTCAAGGGTACGGAACGTCAACTTACTTCGCAACGTTAGGGGAGGTCCTCAAGAGTGACCACGATAGCGGTCTCCACACCGAGATCGTCTCGCTGGATATATCGAAGGCCTTGAACAGGACGCGGACGCCCCTCGTCTTAGAGCAGCTTGTCAACTGGAGGTTGTGTGGACCCATGGTTCACTTCATTAAAAATTTCCTGACCGATCGTTCTTTCAGAGTCGCAGTTGACAACACGAGGTCCCAGTTTTTCACAGAAGAGGCGGGCGTCTCACAAGGTTCAGTTATTGCCATTACCCTCTTCCTTGTGGCCATGAACGGAGTTTTCGGAGGACTGCCGAAAAATGTTTACATTTCCGTGTATGCTGACGATGTACTTATCGTAACTATCGGCCCAACAGCAGCACGTAACAGGATCAAGGCCCAGACAGCAATTTCCGCTGTAGCCAGGTGGGCCAGCGCGGTAGGTTTCCAGCTTTCGGCCACCAAAAGCGTCAGGTGCCACGTGTGTCTATCTCGGCACCGTGTCAGTGGGCCACCTATCAAAGTTCAAAGCCAGACTATACCACTGAAGAAGACGGTCCGTATTCTGTAGGTACT